ATTCATACTCTTTGATTCATTATATTTTTTTCAAAAAGCTGTCTTTTTAATCATTGTTTATTTAATGAAGTATGTAATACATGAATGTGAAAATAAAATTTATATTTGCATACATAAAAACTGATGAAAAGTAGTTAAACAATTATTAAATTGTGCAATATAGTTTAATGTTATATAATTAAATGATTATTTTAGTTTATATCAATAAGAAATTAATATTTCATGTGAATATTTTATTTTTATGAATTAATATTGGAACTCTGAAAAATATTTCATAATTTCAATTATCAGATAGAAATAATTCATGAATCATTATTGTATTAATTTGCTAATTTCTTAAAAAAAAAAAAAAAAAAAAAAAAAAAAAAAAAAAAAAATACGCCATTTGATATTCGTCAAACTAATAAAAATCAAATATTTTAAGATATGTAAAGACGCTAAAACATATTGTCAAATTTAAAATTTTAATATTCACATTTGAACTATTCATATGTTAACATTAATCAATTTAGAATAAAAAGTAATTATATCTTTTAATAAAATAATAATTAAAATCACACGAAGATAAGTGTATGAAAACAATTATATTAAATGGATTTTGATCAACCGATTTAAATTTGTTTAGTAGTATCAGTAATGTAGTAGTAACCCAATTTCATTTCTAAATTGTATAGCTTTAAGCATTTTAAATAATTAAATAGATATGTTAAGTAGAGAAAAAACTAATTTACTTTACTCTGTTAACACCAGTAATTACAAAAATAAATTTGTGTTTCCTGGACCTTAATTTATTTCAATATTCATTACACTTGATATTTATTATATTATTGTGCAAAATTATTGTAAGAATATTTGTTTACATTGCGAAATTATATATACAATAATTTCGTATTCAGACGATCAAAAGTTTACTAAATTCTCAAAATAATGACTTTATTACATTTCTACTATTAAATTTCAAAATTTTATTTAGTATATAATAATAAAGTTTTTCGTTACATATATATATATATATATATATATATATATATATCAAATATTTATATCTAATCGTAGTTACATAATTAAGTTATGACACATATAATGTACACTTTACTGATATCTAAACTAATAAATTAATATTTAGTAAACGAATATGTAAATAATAATAAAACCATTTGCATGTATTCATATATTAATATATTCATAATGAATTTACATTTAATTGTATATTGTATACGGAAGATATAAAAGCTTTTGTATTATTATCAAATCTATGCATTCATAATATTGATAAGAGATTTGTAAAATACAGTTATTTAAAGATTCAAAGTATACCAAATACATTATTTAATTTTTCAAGCTTTTATTTTACGAGAAATTTAATTTATTTCTATTAATACAGAGTAACTTTTAACATGTAATATTTAAGAAATTAAAGAAGATACGAGAATGTAATTTAAAATGTGAATATACTTTTTATCAATTAGACAATAAAATTTTTAATGTACATTTATTGTATGAAAAATAAAGAATAAAAGATTGTAATAATCTTGTGGTGCAAAAAGATATTAAGAAAAAAAAAATTATTTCCTAAAATATTTTATCACAAACGTCATCAAATGATGCTTAATGAAAATATTTGAATATTAATGTTTCTATATTAATACATCTTTGCTTCTATGACTAGTTTATTTATTGAAATAAATGTGAAAATATAAAAAATATAATATTCATACAATGCAGAAAAAGATAAGTTTATAAAAATAAGAGATAAAAATAAAAAAAAAAAACAATGATTGATTGTAAATTGTTATTATTGATGTCCTGTATTTCGTAGTTATTTAAAACTTTGCAATTTAAACCAGCGAAATACGTCTTGTTTGTTAGTTAGTAATTAATATTACATATAATTAATAAACTATCGTATTTGATTATTATTGAATGAATTCAATGGATTAGAAATAATTCGATGTTACTTTCAATGTTGAAGAAAACGAATTATTTTTCTGCATGAATTAAAAGTGTTTGACTTCGAAAATTAGACTCGTTATAAGAGATGTTATTGTCCTATTATTTAAGCTTTCGAGAATTTAAAAATAAATTTATCGCTAAAGTGAACAGTGTTGACACAATTTATTGAATTAATATTCATATTGTATAAATTTTTATTATTACAACTACGGTGAAAATTATAATTCTATCGGGGGGGGGGGGGAAGCAAAAATTACACTAAATATGCAATTCTAATTTTATGATACATAAGTTTTACATTTTCATCATTTTGAAAATGTATAGAGAATAGAGGTTATTGTTCATTATAATGAATGGATAGAAATTTGAGCTTCATTGACACTAAACTGGAAATGTATATTATGTAACATTCTAAAGCAGACATCAACAATTCTTCAGAATTTATCTGGACTTTTAAACTACATACATTAAAATCCATCGTATTTTTATTTTATATTGATGTACTATGCATCAATTTGTTAATCTATTTTAATGTAACATTCAAAATAATTATAAAATGTGACAAATTTTACGTTGAAATAATTACACGTAAATTTTAATATAAATAAAATATTTGAATTAATATAAATTACTTTAATTATTTGGCGTAGATACTATTAATATATACTTAGTTAATTACTTACTTTTAAAATTACAGTATACATTTCGATTTAATTAAAGTAAAAACTATCAAATATTTATATTAATATATTAATTGTAAATTTAAAGATTTTCTTATATAATTAATTATAAACAATAATGTGTAAGTGTAATTCTTTATTTTCAAAAATATTACAATTGTAAGCTAATCACAGAGTTATTCTAAGCCTTACATTTAATTTAAAAGCATTATTTAAATAAGAATTAACCTTTATTATTTGCAAAAGGTTTTAATGCAAAATTCTATTGAAATTTAAATATTACTCGCAAGCAAAAGTCTAAACAGTTAAATAATTTTTATATATAAATAAAACTAGTACAAATCTTTGAACGTTTTCAATATAATTAGAGAGTGTAATAAAAATTAAATTCTCATTTGACTTAATGCTTACCTAAAAAAGTAAATAAATAATTAAATTGTCAAGTAAGTTTCATTATGTACATTATTATACATTAACTTCAATTAAATGGTTAATCATTAAAAAAAACTATCTTTTGTATTCGTACTGTTTTATGATACAAAATCATGATATTATTTTATTTGATCTTTCATAAGTAAATTACTATTTAAATGAGATAATGAAAAATATAATATTTACTGGTTGAATTATATTTAAAAATAAATTTCTATTTACTTATAATTGCAGAGAAATATTACTTACTTTATTAGGACTTTTATTAAAATGTATTAGTATTCACTTTATCGATTCGACAAATTCAAATATGTTTCTACTGTGATTTGATGACAATCAATAAAATGTAGATAAAGAAAAATAATATAAATATATAATAATATGTAATTAGTGCGTGGAATCATACATTAAAATGTCAAAAATATCGAAACTGTCGTCGTTTATAGAAAAGTGCAATAGAAAAAATCATTGAACATAAAATAACATAGAGCAAACTGAATATGTGCAAAATCACCAGGAAGAAATATTTTGTAAAGAAGCTTAATTATTATCTTAAACATTAAATAATGAATGAATTACAAAGTTTAGTTACTTTATAATAAGATTTATAATAGAATGTTAATAGTATTTATAAGTAAATCATCAAACATTGTTTCATTTAATAAGAATAATGTTTCTTAAAACAATAGAAGAAATACTTTAACAAAATTAATTATCACAGGATATTATTAAAAATATGAAAAAATTATGATAATATTAAAAATTCCTTAAGATAATTGAAAAACAATAACAATTTTTGACAATAATGAAATTGATATAGTCGAGATTATCTTAATTTAACAAATTTTGTTTTGAAGTAAAAATGTATGTAGGCAATCGCATTTCAAGAGATTACAACAAAATATTCCTTGTACCTGTATTGTCATAGTGATTTTTTAATTTTTTCTTTAAATATTTATTGAAATAAACAAAATATGATAATTATATTTTAATTGTCTCGTTATAAATATTTTTTTAAAATTTCAAACTAATGTTTTTGTCAAGAAATTATTATGAATTTATGAATTCGACCTAACGTGCTTAATTATTTGAGTTTATGAGCACTTATGAGAATTTGAAATACTATATTTTAAAATGTCACTACTTAATAACGCATATAACTGGCTAAATTTCTTTTCAACTATCACATTAAAGTAAAGAATAAAAAAAAATTTTTATTAATAAACGAATGAAAAACAGTAGTTTATAACTATTATCTATATTACAAATTGTAACATTAATTATCATAATATGAAATCGGAAATTTCTATTATTCTAATAGTTGCAATAATAACAACAACAACAACAACAACAACAACAACAACAACAATAACAAGATAAACAAGAAGGAAATAGTTATTAAAATTAATAATTTATAAATTGCAAAGTTGTTGATAGAAAAATGCACGTTTGGTGGTTTAATGATACGAATGTGAATCAACACGTCAAGTTTAACTATAAAACTCTGAAAAAGGTCATTTAAATTAATATATATCTGGATTAATATAAAGGATTCGGGAGATCTTTTACTAGGAAATTAAAAGTTACCGAAGAGTGTCTACATTCGCTGGGACTCACTACTACGAAAGTGCAGTCCTGAATAAACTTCAAGTTTTTAAGTGGCTCATATAACAGTTGCATATGCGTGCGCGCGCGACTTATGTGATCGTGTGATTGTGGATGTATAATAGCGTTAACGTGTAAAGCGAAAATATTTACTGGCATTTTCATGGTTAATATATTATGTGCCATTATATGGCCTTAATCTCGTATTACAGTTTGCCGCACTTAACGCTGATACCGAGACTAAGAAGATTAAGAGACGTTTCGCTTTCGATTAAAAAGCGGCTATGAAAAAACAGAGTGACAATGTAGTAGATGATTGTAAGTACTCACCTCGGGCATGCAGTTGGAAAGGCCCATGAGGCCCAGCAGAGCGAGCGCGAGCCACGCGTACTTCCGGGCTCGCATCTTCCGGGGCGTTGCCGCCTTCACTGCCTCCGTGCAGTCACATTTTTTCCATCGGCTCGGTTGCTGCTGGTAATACGGACAATTCTGTTAATTATTCTTACGCGTAATTATTATTTGGACAAGGTGCTTACGCTCTATTCTCTCATTTTATTTATTTTATTAGATAAAGCTTTACCAAGCTATTTATTGCATTATAAGGATACATGTAATTAGCAAACGCCTTGCATTGATCGATTCGCATTACAATGTGAGAGCAGAGATTTTTAGTTTACTTAAAGATTTATGGTAAAATGGACTTAATTATTTGCTCTCGTTTGCAGAATGCAACATTTCATATAATTTCCTGCAAACACACTAATTTAATTATTATTGATAAATAATAATTACTAAACTCTTGTTAATTTTGATATTCTTATCATTATCATCATCATCATCATCATCAGTATTATTATTACTATTATTATTATTGTTATTATTGTTATTATTGTTATTATTGTTATTATTATTATTATTATTATTATTATTATTATTATTATTATTATTTTCTAAGATTTAACAAGTTTTTTTTTTGTCACAAGTTTAACAAGTTAACAAAATTTGACAAAAAAAATGACTTAATATTTTATTATTTACGAAATTTATACTACTATGCAAAGTTTGACGTTAATTATATTACATTAATGTTTTTCAATAAATATTACCTATTCCATATGAGGGTAATCGTGAAAATTAAACTTTACATTTGCATTATAATAATTAATTTAACGTAATTGACAAATACGAATATATAATTAGCAAAGAAATATTATGCATCCCAACCCGACTAGAATATTAAATAAGTATTGTGGATAAATTTATCTATTAGTTTAAATAAATCAGGAAAGACTATTGTAATAAGAATGACGACTGAAATTACGCTAAAATTAATCAATATATTGTATAAATAGTGCCAGAACACCAATTACAGATCATATAGACATTGCATTAAAAAAGTATCTTCTTATCGATTTAATGAATAGTTCGTGTGATTCCAATTCTTGATGCTTTGGCAAAAATTTCGACCGAAGATTATCAATAATATGGATTTGGTAAGTTTCATAAATAGATTACATGCGTAAATCAACACAAGTACGCGCGCTTACGTTTGTATGCACGTAAAATCGTTAATTCAAAGTTGAATTTAACTCGATAGATTTCACTACCAAACTTCTTACATGGCCATATATTAAATAGTTTGATTAAAATAATAACAGCATAAAGATAAGAATAAAATACAGAATAAATAAATTTAGTTGAAAAAATACGTCTATTAATTTTATACTGTTCAAGGCATTTTTTGAAAGTTTTATAAAAACTTCAGTCATATCTACGTTAATCTATTTTATTATTCCAAATTAATTCATATTTGGGTAAACAAGTATACACGTTTACTTTTTTGATAATTTATTTGTTATGTTCTTATGAAATTATATGTTAAAAACTGTTTTAAACATGCAAATTTATTTCTTATACTTGGAAAGCATATATAACATTTATATATAACATTTTATTCGAAAATTTATTGATATATATGGTAATATAAAATATTACTATAAATAATTTGAATCACTTGAAATAATTATACTCGAGAATTTCATTTGTATATCAATTGTTTTCTTAAATGCTTCAACAAAAATTCGTAACTATCGAAAAAGTTGAATTAAAAGAAACAATGTCGTTTTAAAATTTATGTAAAACATACTTTAAATAATAATTTCTTTGCGTCTCGAGAATAATAAAAATTTTAATTTTTTTAAATATTGAAAGCGTCTATTAAAAAATTTATTCAATTTTATGCAACCTTTTATCATAAATAACAAAAAATTGTATTAATAATAATATTGTAATAATTTTTGATATTATTAATAATAATCAATCTGCAATTCGGTGTAGAAAACAATTTTTTTTACTATTTTTACAAAATTTAATCAAAATTCATCTTCCAACTAAAAATTAATTATACAAAATTATATTAAATTTCGATGCAGTAAACATTGATATCAACAATATTACTGAATACAGGAGCAATTACATTGCAGTTTAACATATTTAAATAATCTCTAACCTGAAAGTATAATTTGTACAATTTTTTTTCCCAAACTTTATCCGTTTAATCGATGCTATTGAAATACAAAATTCGTATAAAAATTAATCAAAATATTATTAAATTGGATTAATATAAAAATTAAAAATCTTATTTTTAGAAAGTTTTATGAAATTATTGCAATTACTTAAGAGTAATTAATTAGAAATACGTTATTTTTATGGTTGATGTGGAAAATTATTTCGTATATCTTCAAACAAAACATTTCAAGAAAATATCTTCATATAATACAGCATTATTTAACTATTTCTATTGTTGAAATTGTTGAAATGTCTAAAATATTTAATGTATATTCGTAATTAAATATTTAATGTTTATATTCGTACAACTCTTAAGTTATTAAAAATGTTGGCTAAACTGTAGACAATTTATGATCTTTTATAATTGTTATTGTACATGAATGTAATTATTTCTTTTCAAATTTTGGCTAATTTTTAGTAAAGCTTTATATTAAACTTATTATTCTATGTAAAATTAAAAATTTTTACTTCTATTACACAAAACAGATCAAAATTTACTTTTTTTATTACACTTCGTATTAATTTACTATTTTTAATTTTATTTTAATTAATAATCGCATTAGCTTGTAAGTAGCTCGAATATATGGGTATATAAAGTTATCAAATCAATTAAAAATAATCTCTTTAGTTAAAAAAATTATATTTATATAGCAAGATAAATATATTTTCGAATTATTGGTCATTGCAGTTGTTCCAAAAGAAAAAAAAAACAATTTAAACATTGTTTCAAGTTTATAATAAGATTGGACATTATATATATATATATATATATATTTTTTTTTTTCATTATATTCAAAGGAATTATTTTTAAATGATTAAATTGTCTTATGCTGTTATGATAAAAATGCTAGATTGAATTGTTGGTACTATTTAGCAGTAAAAAAGGAAAAACCGATTTTATGAATTTCAATATATAATCCATAAAGTCATCACACTCAAATCAGAATGTTTAATATTTGATTCTAAAACACTATATTTATTAGTTTTTAATGCGTTTTCTTTTTTTAATGTATACATTTATTAATCTATATTGAATATCTCGATGAATAAGCCATTACAAAATATACAAAAGAGCTATGGGTTCCAATGTGCGTTATATTTCAAACTTATAAATTAAAATCTAAATGTTAATATTTCAATATTTATAAGTAATAGAATGATATTTCATTTATCGACACTGACAGCAGTAATTGTTGTTTCTTTTAATAATATTCTTACAAATGGAAAATATAATATATTTATCTAAATGTATGATTTATCAATTTAAATTGCGCCAAAAATAATTAAATAACCAAGTACTTTTTCATTAAAATAATTAGAAATTATTAAATTGTAATATATTACAGTAATTAGTACAATTTTATTAAATTTCATTTCAACGTTTTAATTGAATATCTTAAAATATGGGTAAAAATTTATAGTACACCGTTTACCATAAATTTTTATAGATACATTTGTTCATAAAATTCGTCAATGTAGCAAATATATAAATCCCATTTTATATTGCGATTCTTTCACCTACGGATATTCACTATAATACACATTGCCTGTAGAGCGTGCAATTTCTATAATAAATAAAACGAATATATTACGGCGAAAGATTAGTTTGCTTGATATTATTATTTACATATCGTATGTACGAAAACTTATAAAAAGTAATGGCACGAATACAAATGTTTCGGTACTAGCAGCGTGTACTTAAGTACTAGTAGTCTTGTATAAAGTATATTCGATAACTTAAAGACTAGTACATGAGTTTCAATCTTATTAAATGTTGTTATAAATAATGCACTTGGATGTAGTATTTTGAAATTTTATTTGCTTTGTTTACGTAATATAAATGCAAAAAAAAGCCCGTAATGTATGTCATTTAAAGTTAGATATGATTTTAAAATCTTCTCCTTCACGTTATTTTTTATAACATGTAATTCAACTTAACGGTTAGATACTTTTCGTCTTTAAATATCGTTGAAGAAATCTTAAACAAGTCACAGTGTGTCGATTTAGATATAAGGTACACTAATATTATTTGTCGTAAAGATTGACATTTTAAAATACAAAAAAAAAAGTATATTTTAAGGTAAATAATATTTATATTCGAATATAAATTGTAGTTGAGAATAAAAAGTCCGTTATTTATTTAAGAATCTTTATTAAATGCAATTTAAACGTTTCCATTGAGAAGTTACGATATTTGAATTTAAAACAAATTGAACAGATTATTAATTATATAATTCCATAATTTTGAATTATTTGAAGTTCAATTTATATTTGTATAATTATTAAATAAAAAATTGAATTGCTACGCTTTTATTTTAATAAGATTAGTTAAATAAGGTGTGCAAATTATTGTTTTAAAACACAAGTTGATAGTCGAAGCACGTAAAAATGATAATACGAAAAAGTTTTTCAAACGGTCATAGTTTAATAGATAAATTTTTAAATTTTAGTGAAAATGAAAATTTATAACTCTATATTTGTATTACATTGTAAAATTATTGCCAGTTCTTAATCAAAATAACATTAACCTCTCATTGGGAAATTGAAAGTAAATTTTATCTATTTGAAAAGTAAAGATCTTTAGGGAAAATACCGAAAGCTATTATCTATGATAATCATATTTTTTCAAGTGCAAAATACATTCAAAAATAACAACAGCTGTAAAAAAGGTAAATAAAATAACTTTCAACCTGCCTCGAAGACTGGAAAAACAAACAAGTATCAGTAGCCTCACCACTTGACCTCTTTTAACTGCAAGCAACGTCATTTAATACAGAGAACTTCTTCGGTGGGTGAGAACGAGAAATATCTCCCCTCCTCCAACCAACTAACCCTTTATTCCCTCGCTCTCTCTCTCTCTCTCTCTCTCTCTCTCTCTCTC